GTGGCAACTGTTAAATACGGCCTGCTCCCCGAGTGAAATGTCCAAGAAGGTAAACGTTGATAGAGCGTTTGGGGATGGGATGGGAAAATTCCTAGTCCATCGTTGCTCTGAAGTATCTACTTAAATAGGAGAGAGTCGGGTCATTGAGACGTCCAGATGAAGCTGTTTCCATGGTCTAGGGCTATAGCATGCATACACCTGAACTGAGATGCGCCTTGTCTGATGGCATAACTGAATAGGCGGGTGTGGTTTCTAATCGGTGGCGTTGGTTGTCGAAGCGGACGATGCCATTCTCCGGCCAGGAGGATAGTCGTTCAGGTACAAACCGCTCCTGACTCTGGACGGAAGTCGAAAGTCCCGATCATAATCAATAGAAATATCGCTGTATCCTCTTTCGTGTGACCATGTAAAGCTTCAAAAGGGCTTCCGAGGGTGCCAAGATGACTTCCTCTACGCCATTATATTGAACACTCGCGAACCATCAAGATTTGGACATCTATAACTACCCGACTCGATCGGATATTTGACTCTCCGTTAAGACAGAGCAAAGAAAGGGTTCGAATTGAGGTTCATAATCGTTCTGAGACCTAATAGGGCCTATCACCTCATCATCGTTCTGTGAAATGGCGATGGAGGCACCAAAAAAAAATTCGTTTTACGCCTACGAAAATCTTGGGCTGCGAGACTGCAATGGCCCAGGCGCTATAAAACCTCGTGATATCGGGTGGAGGGGGCCATTGCCATTCTCGTATTGATATTTCAAAGTCTCGGGCGTGTTATTGGCCAGCTTTGGGGAGCTTGACGAACAGTAGCCCTCGCCCCAAATGTGGAAGGGTTCAAGTTGCGCAGCGCGGTATTTGAGCTCAATTGGGTATCGACTGACTTTCGTATATTGCATTCAGTTCGACAGAGAAACCAAAGAGATGAAAGGAATACAGAAAAATAGTACACTATCAAGAGTACAATACGGAGATGAAAGGTCGTAAATCCTGGAAGGACGGTGTGTCCCAGCAAGGCTG